GTGTTATATTTCATTTGGGACTATTTTGTCCACACAACATTTGTTTACATATTTTGGTTTGTCAATTTTGCCACTGTGAACACAAAGTGAACCAGAGCTGAAATGAAACAATGCATTATCTTCTGCTTTGGTCTGAACCAAAGGAACCAAACTGCAAAATGTAAAAGCACCCTTGTTTTCTATTTTGTTTCTCCGTATTAACTCTGCTACATTCAAAACAGGTAAAAGAAATACCAAAGACTTTCACAAATTTCTACAGCTTTATGGCAACCTCCACTGGCCCAAAAACAACATGCAAATATTACCACAAATTCTAAGAAAGTACAGAAAAATTAAGCATTGTAGTCCATAACAGTCACAAAAATGGCCATGAGATCCTGGTGGGACTGAATGGATTAGCACAACATAAACCAGCACTGGCTCCAAGACTTTGTGTTTGACAATAACTCTGTGCTTCTTGAAGCCCAGCATTGCATTTCTCTCTCTCTTTCACACAAACACACACACACACACACACACACACACACACACACACACACACACACACACACACTGTACTGCCTCATCCTTATCATTGTGTTAAATAGCAAGTATCCGCCCTACCCTCAGGACAGGGATGAAACAAATACATAGACACAGAACACAGAAAAAATACATCACAGGCATTCTTCACCAAACATGGACATGCTCGTAACGGTCGAGCTGTTTCCACAGAGACCGCACAGAGGGAATGCTATTATGGAATGGCCCCAGAGAGCACAAATAAGAAAATGAACTTCGACCAGGGCGCAGATACTTGAAAACAGTACAGTCTTAGCTGAAGATTGTCTTAGGGTGTGTTTACATTTGTAGTTCAGCTCCTTTGGTCCAGACCAAAGCAGAAACATATATATTTTTGCAGTTTAATTTCGGTTCACTTAGCGTTTACACTGGTATATTTTACAACCAAAACATGTAAGCAAAAGTCATATGGGCAGAAAAGTCACAAATGATAGATTTTAGGATAGATTTATAACATTAATTTGGTGACAATAACCGGGATAGTATCCAACGAACTTTCTGAACTATGCTGTATTGTGGTTTAACCGAGCTTGTGGGTTTTATGTATGTCTTGTTTTGTGATGATTCAGAGCAATAAGCCATCCATACATTACTGTGGTTTACTGAGTGGTAATCACTGTGACAGTGTGAAAAAACACAGTCTTTAGTGTTTTACTGCAACAAAATGTAAAAATTGTTGAAAGTGCTGCACATTAATATGTAAGTTATGTGTGTGCTTAGATGTACAGAGTCTATAAAGAGTATTTTATAATGCTTGGAAACATGCTGAGTTTCAAAACCGAAACTATCCATTCTATAATAAACGATTCAGAGCTACTGACGATAAATGTCAAAACTTACTCTTAAAAATGTGTTTTCACAAGGATACATACCATCATTTAACAAACAGAATTAAGCTAAATTAACAGAAAGACTTGTATCTTGTGGCAAAGTAAACAACAACAATAAAACAGGTGCAATCAATCTAAATCTTTTTTCCCTACTGTTTACAGCAGTGCAAGACAGCTCAGCTGTCGTCATTGTGACTGAAGCAATTATCAACGTTCATCTTCAGTCCTGCCCAGTTTCAAGTATTCCCTGCCGTGACACACCTGATCCAGCTTATCAGGTAATTATTAAGCCCTTCAATTGCTGGATTAGGCGTGATGAGGTGGGGAAAAATTTTACCAATGCAGGGCACGAGTATCCAGCCTGGAGTTTAGATAAAGCTCAACACCCAGGCCAAAGAACAATTAAAGCTCCTGTCTACATAGTTTCAAATGTTAACGTTTTTGTTTTAACAATGAAGATATTTATTAGGGTTATAATCAAGAAATACATATGAATTAATTAGATATTTTTGTTCAGTTACGGCTGCTATTCATCGGGTGACAGCAGTAATTTTTGGTGCTCTTCCTCACTTAGGGTGCTGGAAATGACTTGAGTATAATCGTAATTTATGTGAGGGAGAGGAACAATAGGAGCTGATGTTTATATATTGCTAACTCTAGTATTTTGGCAAAACTGACATCATCTATGCCAAATTTAGTCTTGCCCAACTGAAATCGAACTGGCAGAAAACAATACATTTTAAAATCTCTTAAGAGAAAAAAGCAACACCATTCTTTTTCTGCCAAACATCACATAAACTATTGCTATTGCTAATTAGAAGATAAATCATGAAGAGTAATAGACAGGGGCTTTAACGATACACAGGTTCCAAATCCCAGTACTGGAGACCTCCTGCACTGCTCATGTGTGTGTCCTGCTCTTATGTGCTTGATTTAACTATTATAAAGTCCTTCATAAGCTCTGTCTTGCGTGTGCTTGAACATGGGCAGTGCAAGGGGTGCCCAGCACTGAGACTAAGAATAAATCACATAATTAGTACATTTAACCTTTACATTTGAGAGTTATTACATTTATTTTGCCAGATTATTCAAAGTTACATGATTACATATTTAGTTACACAGTGAGTTACACAATGAATTAAATTTCCATTGAATTTCCAGTCTGCATTTTAGCTTTAAGTGATGTCAAGTATTAACATGATAAAGGAAGTAAAGCATGGCAAAAATGTTAACTGAAACTACAGAATCTGCATTTCCAAAGATGTTTATATGGTTGTTTTAATGAGCTACAAATGAGAAATAAGTAATATAAAATTAACCATTCTTTTGTTCAGCAGCATTAACTGTGACTTGTAAGGGTTACAAGTTATGGAAAAAAAAAAATCACTGTTTTTGCTGCATATCGTTATTTACTGCCATTGTACTGTTGTTGCTATTCAATTATTGAGTGTGTAGGATGGGTCCGTAACGTGCCAAAACGATATGTAGGCATGAGAAGTGGGACTGAAAAACAATTCAGTCTTTTTCTTCCAGAGAATTAAATAATGATGGAATGAGGTGGGATTTAGGCCTGCCGCCTACTTCACTTCTTTGCTTGTGGTGTATGCCACAAGTCAGACTAGCTTTCCTCAGGTCAAGAATGAAACTATACAGAATCCAGAACTCATGATGGTTGGAACCTGCTAAATTAACAATGAGGTGTGTGGTTGTAGCCCTTAGAGTCAGAAACATAGTGTGAGGTCACAGCACAAATGATGAATGCTAATATAAAGAATTTGACTGCAGGCATGTGTGATAAATCAAGGCGTACCAGTGTGTAATTTAATGCAGTAATTTTACTGTGTACTCCTCATTCCTGTCACTCCAGACAATAACACACCCAGGAGTCACCCTGACATACACCCTAAACTAGGGCTGTCAAACTCGGATCCTAGATCCACAGCAAAGGTTAAAATCTACCCAAACCTGATGAGACTCAACTATGCACATTAAGTTCAGTCATCATTTCTCAAATATTTTTCCAGGTTCATATTTCATGCCCAACCTTCAACAAATCTTGCCCTTTATTTTGTTTTTGTTTATTGATCAGATAATGGCTGTTATTGTCACTAAACTAACAAAGAAATAGTTTACCGATAAATCACATTTAAACAACTTTAGCCTCCAGTGCAAAACTAAAGACGCAAACTTTGAATACCAAAGTCTTGGCCGACTGAGCACATTTGGTATAAGGGGAATAACTGTGTACATTTGCTATTTCAGTGAACCACTACTTTGACTACTTGTCGATGAATGAAGAATGTGGAGCTTTGTTTAGCCTCTGGTTGGTGGTGCACTGCAAAATAATTGTATCTTGTGAAATTATCTTAAATCAGGTCAAGAAATGTAATATTCTCATTTTGAGATCATTATAAACTCATTATAAGAGTATTTGACTTAGTTCTAGACATTTTTATTTGTTTAAGCAATTTTAGTAAGTCAAATTATCTCACCACATTGGTAGATAATTTTGCTTGTTGTAAGAAATATGCTTGAAACAAGCCAAATTATCTGACAATATAGTAAGATAATCTTACAGTAATCTTACAATAAGGTTACAACGGCCTCAAGATGAGAAAATTGATATATCGACCAAACAGAAGATCATTTAAATTGCCAAGATATAATTTGTTGCAGTGTGGTAGAGCATGGGTCGAATCTGGACAGAATGTTTGTTACTCGGGTCTAGTTTAGATTCAAAAGTGCTGTGGATTGGGTCAAACTCTGGTAAAATGTTTTCAGACTATATTCAGGTTTAGATCAAAATTTCACACGATATGAAGCTTTAAATCACAATACTGCATCATGCACTATTTCCTCTGCTCCATCACACTTGCTTCATGACTAAGCTGGAGAAGAATTTAAGGGTTTATGCCTGTGTACTTGCTGAAGTTATACTAAAAGCCATAAAATACTGCTATGAGAAGTTATTCAGTTATGCTGGCATCAGACAGCTTGATCCTAAAGATATGCTTGCAGTAGAGGTCTGTATGTGTGTAGAATTATTCTCAGCATTGGTGGTTTATGCTTTTAAATGCAAATAATGTGAAGCCACCAGGAAAAAGGCTGCCATTAAGAAGTCTGGGAGGGTGTTGGTTTGTACATGTGTGTGCAAATGGCACACACATTGTTAAGATGGCAAAAGGTTTTTAGAGGAAAGAAAATCGAAAGCGCTCCAATCAGAGGCATGTCTCCTAGTAATGCGATGTTTGAATGCATTGACTGACAAATACATTTGGAACTGAAACTTGCTTTTGGATAGATGATAATGATTTTTTTGTTTATCAATGATCAGATGATGGCTGTTATAGTTACTAAAATAACTGAAAGGGAAAAAATAAATAAATCACATTTACACAGTTTTAGCCTCGCTCCAGTGCAAGACCAAAGAGGTAAACTTTAAACACCAAAATGTCTTGGACGATTGACTATGTTTGAGATAAAGGGAAAATTGTATACAATGATTTAAAATGCAAAGCCAGCAAAAAAAAAGGATGCCATTAAGAAGACTGGGAGGGTCTTTGTTTGTATATAGGTATGCATGTGTATATATGTATGCACATGGCTTACAGGTTTTTTGAGGAAGAAAACAGAAAGTGCTCCAATCAGAGGCATGTCTCCTAGTAGTGGCTCCATGATGACTCTCAGCACTCCATGTAGCTAAAAAAAACAGAATAAATTCAAATTTTTACATGTACAAATCTCTACTAGTTGTGTCAGACTTCTTCATGCTATAGGCCACTACTTTCTGATTACAACAGTTGCCTCAGAATATGCACATTACACGTCAGTTTGTTTTACAACACCAAAATGACTGGAACCCTTAAAGGGGAAGTCAACTGATAATTTAGTTGTTGTGATGCAAAGAAAGCCCTTAAGTTGTGATGTTAAATGGCAAATTGTACAGAAGGTTAGAAACATATGTTCTTTACAGTGATACAGTGATAAGAATCAGGTATCACAATGTTCACACCACAAATATAGTCATTTTTTGGCTATCTAAAAAGGACCAGTGAACCCATACATCACGTGAGTTTTTATATACAATGTTGATAATAGCAAAATAATGGCAAACCTGACTTAATAATCATTTGGGACTATTTTGCCTTATAACACCTTACATGTATCTCTCAGACCATAAATGAATAAAAAAAATGCATTTCAGGGTAAAAGCATCTCTCAAAACAATTGTAAAACAATGTCTTAGCAACAGTCAATGTATTCATTAAGATTTAATATAATAACTTTCTGTAATGTACCTTTTAGAGACATTAACTCTTCGGACATCTGGTTCCTATCATCATCATCATTGTGCACAATTCTAAAATGTCTAAATTGTTATTCTATAGAAAGCAGCTTTTCACATCAAACCACAGAGAATTAATTTTTGATTATAAGGAATTTTTTTTCTATACTATATACACATATATACACACACATCTGACTAAGAACAGGAATGTTATTGCTCACAAAATCCAACTGTCCTTTATTACACAAACACGAACTTTGATTTTACAGCTTAAAGCGATAGAGGTCGGTTTGTGTTTAGGATTCGCACCTTTGTTTACTTATATTTAGATTATTTATACTGCTTATCGTTTGATTGTTTATTTATAAACTAAAATGCAAAGAATCTCTTTCATTACAAGTTGACCTATTACACATACACACAGAAGAACAGCGATTATACAGATAGGGTTTGGGAAATTTGAACAGTCTATTAAACCCACTAGCCAGACTGCTTGTTAGCCAGACCTACTTGTGCACAGAGACCCGTGTCTGTTCTGTCTGTTCAAATTCTACACAACCAACATTAGCTCACTTATGGAAGAACTTTAACCTCTGAGCACTTAACTGTTGAAACAACCTGATCAATACTAAAATCTCACACAGACACACACACACACACACACCCTCCACACGTACACACATAGACAACAGAGGCCACCAATCTGCAGAGTCATTCAGACAATTACTAGTGTGCACTCTTATGAAATCATAAAACAAACAGTTAAAAAAGCAGAGAGCTCTCTACTGCCTGCTTTACTGCAGCACTTCAGTCACACACACACATTTACATATACACACATCTCGCTGCAGCATGAGATTTCTTACCTGTATGCTCTTGATGCCAGCTTTGCAGTAGTATTTCTTAATTTCCACGTTGATCTCTGTGTTTCCAATAAAGCTACACAAACACAAATAAATACATGAACAAAACTGAACACATGCTCATGATTATTCGCAAAGGACCAGGGTGGCTGCACCAACCCTTCAATCAATCGTTTGATGACTGAGACCAGCAGATTAAACGAATGGAATCAGGTGTGATTCTGCTTGACTGGAGTCAAAGCCTGTAGCCACACTGGCCCTTTGTGAATAATTAACAAACAAACAAACAAACAAACAAACAAATAAATAAGGAATAGCTTTGCAGCCATTCCAAAATCGGCTCACATATGATGTTTCATGATAGTAACAGCCAGGTGAAGGGTTTTGAATTCTTATTTTAAAAAAAGTACAGTAAAACAGTCACATTCATGAGCATCACCTTATTTGTAGATCCATTATAATCTGTCGTTTGTCTACATTCTCTGTGTACACCTTCACTCCGTTTACTCGCAAAGGCTAGAGAGAGAAAGAGAAAGAGAGAGAGAGAGAGAGAGAGAGAGAGAGAGAGAGAGAGAGAGAGAGAGAGAGAGAGAAAAAGAGAGAGAGAGAGAAATATTTAGGATGATTAGCATCAGTACATAAGTACTGCAACAGATAAACACTGTGCTCCTAATTTGTTTGTGCATCTTGCATTTGCATTTCTTGTGCGTTTGTGTGTTGCGCATCTTGACATAGAAAATATGTAAACAGAAAGAGCATCTAATGCTTTCAACTAGGGCTGTCACAATAATTACATAATCACAATTACTTGAGATTTTTTAAGCTGATGGCAATCATTTCCCTCAGTCATTAGATTTCACAGTCATATTATGCTGCAACAACTGGGTGTGTTGGATTGAGGCAAATAAATGTAAATAAAGGAAAGCACTAAATGCATTCACTGAGACATCATGGGGTTTATTAAAACAAAAAATGTCTACCTTGGTACTATAATATTTTGAGCAGCACTGACTAATGTTGAATTGTTAGGTAAGTAGCTTATTACAACTTTTTTTAGGACGTACGCTCACAGAATGACTGTTTTATTGCTTATATTTTCACTCTTGTGGAAAACGTAACTTTGCTTAACCCTACACATAATTTTGCAACTATAGACATTTCTGTGAGCATGCATGCAGTATTTGACAGTACAACCAAAAAAAGTAAACAAAAAGTACTAACACAGTTAACAAGTAAGGTGGCTAAAATAAGCAATTTGGCCAAATTAAGGCTTGCATTTTTAACAGCTGCAAACAGTTAACAACCAAAGACAAAGTCACAAATTTTTACTAGACTATGCAGACGAGAAGAGACAGCATGTCTATATGCTAGGTATGAAGCTGAATGTACTAACATTTTTTGTTTTTAAAGTGTTTTTGTTTACAACCCTTTGAGCCGTCTTCGCATAGGAACAACCTTCTCCAACACACATTTGCTGACTTTTTCTTGTTTGCATCATCAAACAAATGTGACTGCATAACTGCAACATACCTCTGGAACAGTAATGCTGTGGAATGATACAGTCCAAAACTTAAGACAGTTTACCATGCTGTAGAGCAGTAAGAGAACTCACTAGGGGCCGTCACTATTCATTACACTGGTAAACATCTACCGATCATTTTCACATTTAATCAAGTATCGAGTTTTTTCCAGAGGCTTCAGCTTTCAGAGTCTCGTATCTGTTTAGTTAGTTTAAAAGCAGACTAATCAAACCCACTTGGTTCAACTCATCTGTTAATTGCCAGATGTAGCATGTGTGTCTCAGTATGGGAATTACCAAAATGTGACACTTCTGGGTTTTTCCCCAATTGCCTCTTTCATACCAATTTTCAAAAGGCAGATAAAATAAACTTAAATATCAACTAAATATCACAAAAAAGGTTTTTAAACTACGATTAAGTGGTGAATTTGGTTCAACAATAAAGAAGAAAATGTGAAAAACAGTGAGGGAAACTTTCCATGATGGGAACTTTTCCATGTAATGACAAAAATGGCACCAGACGAAAATCATCAACGCTACCTCTGCACTGATGTTCCCAGGCGTTCGGGTGGCGGCGATGAAGTGGAAATAATAGGCCACTGACTGCTCTGAACTATTAGCACTACAGCCATGTACAATTGACAGAGTTACAAAACTGCTCACCTGAGAGCTAATAAAGGTTTGAATCACTCCACAGTGAGAAGAATCTTGTCTCAACCATGTGAAAGTATCTTTGGCTTTTTGGAAATTCACCAAAATTTGTCAAACATGAATGGAAATCCTGCCACTGACCGACCAGGACCAAAGTTTTATTATGACTGGTTGTCTAGCTTGTGGGGTTTTTTCACGCATGTGTGTATGTGTGTGGACCTTGTCCCCCATGTCGATCTTGGAGAAGCAGAAGGAGCTGAGGTGCGAGTTCGCTCCTTTGACGGCTGGCTCGATGGTCTCGCGGAAGAGTTTATCCACAAATTGGCAAATATACGGCCACATCTGCTGCACTGTCTGAATATGAGAAACACAGAAATAGAGAGAGAGAGAGAGAGAGAGAGAGAGAGAGAGAGAGAGAGTGAGAGTGAGAGAAAGAAAGAAAGAGAGAGAGAGAGAGAGAGAGAGAGAGAGTCAGTAAGGCTCAACATACACTCATCTGTGCATTTATCTAACAGAAAAAAAAAAGACACTTCCAGATCAGACTACTGAATTCAATGCGCTTTTCAGAAATGAAGTATGGCACAAGTACACGCCCTGGTTTGAGTCTAGTTTGTGCTACACAGCAAAAGCTGACCTGTTTGCATGTGTTTGTGTCAAATCTTTGTTCCTGCTGGAATTACCAGGGTACCTAGGGACATTCTGCAGCAGACTGGCCACAGATCCAGTTTCAAATCTATTTATATCAGACCAGCAGAAACATGGATAATATTTGTTCTTTTAAGCCTTTATTATCTTCATAGGTACACACATAAAACACACCTTATTGAGCCATTCCACTCTCTCCACATCTGGAAAGTGGACCTGAAACAAAAGAACACATAACCATTCATGTTAGTCCAATTTACATACATGACTATTAATTCTGTACTGTATATTCCAAACACAGGCAGAGACAGAGTACTATTTTAGAAAGTGACCTTACCAATAAAGCAAACAAAGGTTTTTGCTGAATCATTGTCTTTCTGATGATGAATGTTACATAACTCTGACAGGACTACAGAGCACAGTGCATCAGCCCACAAGGCTAAAATAATCTGTCCCCTGCATCTGTCTCCCTCTGTCTCTCTTTCTCTCTGACAGAGAAAGCTATTTTATGTTACTGTAGGGAGTAACTTAAATAAAATAGTACTAGCTAGGGCTGCACAACATGGACAAAATACTAAATTACAACTATACTGGTACAAATTGTGATTGCAATGTTTCGCAATATAACTGGAACACTGTGAGGCAAATAGGCTAAAGACTGGCCTGCATCATTTTGGACAAAACTATTGTTGTATCCCTTGATTCATCAAAAATTATTCAGAACATCTGATGTTGTACACAGCACCAATAAATATTTCAATGATTGATCAAATGGCTTATTTGCATACTGAAACCTTTGGCAATATCAATACTACATGCAAGTCATTTTTACCATTTGCTTTTTTTCAGGAAAAATGTATTATCAGTACTTTCACTGCACATTTAAAGTATCTCAAAGGTGATATTTCCTGTTGCAACCACAATGAGCCTGGGGTTCTACACAATTCTACTCCAGCAAAACATAAAGGAGCCATTCAACACTACATTACAACCTTGTGATGTCATGCAGAACTCTTCCATTTTCACACTTTGAATCATTTCAGCTCATCCATAATTGACCCATTCAAGTCTTCTTTTTCTCTATTATCTATTACACAGCTTTTTTGTAACTCCAGTGATTATTTAGGAGTAGTAGCTCTGACTTTATAGATATTTTACAGAGTATGCTTACGCTTACTAAACTTAAACTGAAACCAGCTCCCTTAGCATATAAGCCCTCTATCCCACAATGCTTTATAGGTATATATTTGTCTCTTAGTTTTTTCGCTTGGATTCTTGTATAGCCATTGTCTTACTCTTCATTCTATATATACACATTTTTTTTCATAGCTACTGACTTATTCTCTTATTAAAGTCTTATTCTGTTGAGTATGTCATATGCCACAGATGTGTTCATTCACCAAGACAAATTCCTCATATGTTTAACATACTTCACAAAATAAAGTGATTCTGATTCTTACTTACTTCAAGACACATATATTATACACACATATTTACAGGCTAGCCAATAAAGTGGTTAGTCAATATCATTCCTTGGCTTATGTTAGGTAGTAACTGCTGGAATATGGCTGATAACTGGCAAGTTCATCAACATTTAGCTGGAATTATGGAGATTAAGGAACAACAACAACAACAACAGCAACAACAACAATGTACTACCTGCTTTTAAAGAAGTGTTTGGTTCATAATCAAATGCATACTTTAATAGCTTACACAGTTTATCTACAGTTTTTAAAAATCATACACACTCTCCATTTGTAAACAGAGACATTCTCAGACTCTCATGCAAGACAAACGAAATGGAAAATTCCTTTCTTTCCCCTCCTCCTTCGCTCTATTCAAGCTTTCGTTTTTGGGACGTTCTCCTGTGGGAGTAAACCCTATGACTCACAGTCCTGCTGTTTCCTGAGTACACACACTAACAGAGAGGGCACAGAAGCCCTGTGTTAAGATTAATGGGCTGATGTTAAACACTCCACAAAGTTAAAAACACAGGGTTTTAGCCTTTGACATGGTACATTGTACATTTTCCTTTAGGGGGCATTTCCCCGCCTAAATTACTTAACACTACAGCTAGCTCCTGAAGACTTGTAAGGCACACACAGTGTTCCATACTTAAGGTAAACCTGTGCAGCTGGTTGAGATCAGATCCAGGACTAGTTTGTTCTATAGCTAGGTCAATAATCTCAAGTGATTATTGGTAGTGTTTAAGTATCCAGTGTTGGTAGCCCTGACTGACTTATAAACTAAGGCTGGTACGCTTAATAAAAAATAAGGTCATTCATCCAGGTGTCCAAATGGGCAGATGTCACAATCAGGGCAGAGAAGGAGAGGAGGAGTTGTCCAATGATATTGGCAGGGTTTGTATAGTTACATACGACGTACATCACTATCAGAGAAAAATACAAAATATATGGTGTTCAAAGGTCAAAACTGGTAGACAACTTAACCAATCCAAAATCCCATTCCCATTTCATTTAAGGAGATAACAGTGTAATGAAATGTCCTACAAACCGGACCCTACAAACTTTGTTTCAACTGGACCGTTTTGTGATTCCTTCTCTTGAAATTACACCAAATGAGCACAGCAGCAGGGACTATTCTCTGTCTTCTCAATTTTAGGGGTATTTTACGAACACAATGCTTGTTCTCTATCAATCCGCTAAAACTAATAATCAATACTAATCTGTGACACCAGTATCAGTAGCTATACCGGTATTGAGGTTATATCTCACTGAGAAATCCTGAAACATGCCCAGCAATTAACTTTTAATATTATTGTCCATTACAAGGCAAAAGCATATATCCTTTTATGAACTTACCAAAATCACACGGAATAAGATAAATGTCAGATTTATAGGTCATACTTGTTCTCAGGACAGGTTTGATTTTGACCCCTGACTTGTTCTGAGTTGTTATTATGAGATTTCTAATGATGTCTTTTTATTCCTGTGATTGCTGAACTAAGAGTCTTTAACATCTGAGGCATGGTTATGCTATTATTGTTGTCAAAAAAGATTTTTTGTTGAGTTTTTGTTGATAAGCTTTCTACTTTCTGACATAACAATGTGGAGCACAAGTGATTCAACATGGAATGTCTCTCACACAGCTGAACTCATGGCTTATCACAATATCAGTAAACTAACTACCTCCCTGCAGTGGAACTACCAAGGAATGCAAGGCTTTTCCCCTCCAAATGCTATCACAAAATATTCTGTTTCTTACAGTCTATTACACTAATACCCAAAAATTATGTACAGTAACACACTTAATTCAAGATTGACCCCTAACGACCCCTGAATAACCATGTGAGCTGCCAACTCTAACCAGCTTTGCTGGAATATGACCCATTAGACTAATGTGTATGTATACGTTGTCCTTGATAAAAGGAATGCTCCCGCAGAACACAACAACTGGCTGCTATTGAATGTTGAAGTACACAGTACCAAATTCCACAATTGACTGGTTTGACTGGAAAGCTGCAGGATGACTTACAACCAAGCCGAATTCAAAGCCGCTGAATAGATAGCACTGGAACGCATGGAGGCAGTTGTTGCTCTGCTGGTCTGGGCACGATCACAATAATTACAGTCTGACTCATTAAAAACCTTCAGTGTCAAACTGTATTCTGTGAGCTCAAGTCACACTCTGCAAGGAGAATTAATACAACTAGCTGTGTTTTTTAATCCATTTCTACAGGACATCTGATCCGGAGAAGAAGCAGAAGGACCAAGGACAAAACAGGGTCAGAGAGGGGGGGTGAGAGAGAGGGGTGAGAGAGAGGGGTGTGTGAGAGAGAGAGAAAGACACTATTTTCAGACTCTTTCTGAAGAAATACTCAAGGGGAACACCCCACTGACATCATACAAATTATTCCCACAAACCTCATTCTATCCTCACACACTTCTCTCTCTCTCTCTCTCTCTCTCTCTCTTTTTATATCACCTTCTTCTCTGTGACAACATTATCTTAACAACTTTTAAGCGGGGAAATATAATAACATGGATCTTGTGAGCTGCCAGAACATTACATCACCCAATCTAAAGCAATCAAACACCCATGTGGTGTGCCAATGACAACACAACCACAACTATCTAGTTGTCTGGCACATTATGTTCAGTGTTCAAATCACAAAGCAGAAAATGTGGACAGGAAGGTCTTCAAAAAACACTGACCACAGTTTATAGAAAATAATCACTATTTATTCAATATCGTTATATTAATCAGAAAAATCACCACTAGATATTTTGCCAAAATCCTTGTTTATCATGTACTCAAGGTAGTATCACTTTCACAGATGAGTTTTAGTCCACAGATGTAGTGAGTTATCAGTTTGCAGCCTGCTGTGATTAGCGCTTAGCCGTTAGCAGTACTACTTTGTGTTGTAGCACTGTTAACAGAAGGATTATGTTGCTGTGCTGTATGTGGTCTGTGACATGCGTTAGTGAACATTTAATTGTTCACTGATAGTTTTACAGCCACCATACGTGTATGTGTGCCTTTTTGCATCTGTGATTAAAAATGTGGGAGGTTCACTCTTCTATGTCTCTGTTCTCTGACTAACAGAGTGAACCACACCTATAATAAAGTCCTTAGAAGCTTCCCTGGCATTATTTAAGCAATAGAACACGAGAGGGAGTGTGTTATTCGTGACACAACCTCAAGTGTTCTATTGCTTTTATACAGTTAAATAAATAAAGTAAGAAATAAATTAATTGGGCCATGAACGTGGCATTTAATATGATTTAATGTTAGCAATTCCTTCCGCCAAATTATAGTTCCTTAACAAGCAGCTTGTCAGAGTAACGAACTCTGCACCCTCGCTACACAGTCTGCTGTAAGCCTCGCCTTTTGAAGTACTGACTGAGCCATAAAACGGCCGCAATATCAAGTTTAGCCCAGTGTTGTTAATTTTTTGCTAGATCAATACTAATGTTGTTTTGTTCCAGCCAGTCTGTAAAACATCTTACAGCCCATTTTGTTTGGCCAATGGTATTCGGTTCATTTCTGGCTAATTCCAGGTTGCTTGGGTGTTCTGTCACAGCTGCCGACTGAAAAGCTTAGTGTAGTCTAGTGTAGTGTAGTTTTAGTGTAGTCTCATCTTCACCGTCTGACCAAATCAGCTGTAGGTCAAATGTATTCTCAAAAGTATCCATTTTAGTAACAAGTAAAAACGTTCAAATGGTTTGGGCATCTCCTACAGCTGTCAAAGTCGCTGCTTAGCAACGGTGTCTCATCGGAGTGATATAATGTTTGTGAAAAAAAAACGTGCTGTTATGGCGAAATAACAGCATGGTTAGAACGCTTCTCAACCAATCAGCTTGTGTGGCCAGAACTATCTGTTGTATAGTACATTAATTGTTCTTGCATTTTTTAAACTTAAGTTTTTTAGGTGTTAATACAAAAATGTGATCATTCTTCACCAACCTTATTTATTTATTGTTTAGTAGTCATTTTTATAACACATTTTAATGTAAACAAAAACCAAAAATGTATTTCGCCACTGTATTGCACCATGATTCTTGTATTGTGACATGCATATTGAGAACTTGCTGACAATAACTAGCCCTATCACTGACCCAAATTATACCTCACACTTTAACCAACAACTTTGTCACGCGCACTCTTATGCGAGCGCGCACACACCCACAGAGGATGTCGTGAGAGATAAGAGGTAAGAAGTGACTTCCTGTTACTGTTGGATAGCAGATTACCCTCGGTTAATCTACAAAATATTTTGTCAATTAACTGAGCAATTAGGGTTTTTTTTTAACTTGACTTAACTAAAACAACAAAAACAACAACAACAACAACAAACCATTCATATCCTTTCATTAAATCAAAAATATTCAGATCAGTAGGAAACGTTTAAATATGCATTATCACCATCTAAAGTGTCACCTAATTATGGCCAATTCATCAAGAAGATTTCATTTTTTATGACAGCCCTAAAACACAGTCTGAATTGCATTAAACTGTAAGATTTGATAACTATGTCTACACTATGCCACATTATATCTGAAGACTTCATTTGTAAGTTGTGCTAATGTCTCATGGGGATATTTACATATTCACATCAGTCTCATTGGGAGTTCAATAGTGCTCCTTCACAAATCGACTATTCAAATGTGAAATCTTCCTGCTGACAGGTCTGTTCAGTCTGTCAACCAGTCCTTTAGATACAACACTTCTCATTAACAGAAGCAAACTAAGAACAGCTCCATCTGCATGTACTCTGTAAAAAGGTATACTGATCCTAGATCAGGAATTTTACAAAACTGCAAAATATGTACCAAAAACTTTTTTAACTACCATGTGGAGCTGACACATGTGCTGTCTTTTGCTCACACCATGGCAGGTCTCCAGAGGAAAGCTATGGAAAGCGCCATAGTAACACTTCCTTAGCCGTTCTCAGTGCAAGCACCTGACTGGGTGACATCATGATGTGCATGCAATAGCTTTAGCTTTATTTACTATTACCTTTAGCTTTAGCATATCTGACATTATGCAGTAAAAGACATTCATAATTACTTAACAAACAACTTCAATACACCACAACTGTGGACACGTTTAAGCACTGGCTTGACAGCATTTGAACATCACACAGAACCTGTAGCCACCAACCTCAAGCTAGAGCCACAAAACTTGCTGAAGTTTATAACTTGCTGTAGTTTACTGACAGTTAAAGTCAGTTCAAATCTATGTGAATCAAATAGCATTTATGTTTTTTGCATTTTCATTCTATTTCAGAGTGAGTTCATGTATTAAATGGGAATTACACCTATTTTTTCAAAATGTATGCATAATTCTTAAAATGTAAACAAAATCATTCAGAGTGGTTCGATGTGAAATTGAGAAGCCGTTCTTGAGAAACTTGCCAAGTCAGAATTGTTCCCAGTAATGGTGATAAGAACTAGGTATCTGAAGCATTTAATGCCTCTAAACACTACCTCACAGAAGGCTGTTACAGGTAATGGTCATGGATATGTTGCCTGATGCTAGAGACATTTTATGACAGTTCTGAGAGAGGATTTTGGCCTAAAACATATTTTTAAATACACGTGCAGGGCAGAGAGATACAATATATGGACAAAAATATTGGGACACGCACAGGAGCTTTTATGACATCCCATTCTAAATCCATAGATACTGTTGTGAAGTTGGTCCCCCCTTTGCAGCTATAACAGCTTCCATTTTCTTGGGAAGCTTTCTCCAAGATTTTGGAGTGTGTCTGTGAGAATTTTTGCCCATTTATCCAGAAGAGCATTTGTGAGGTCAGACACAAACCCAGACTTGTTCATCAGACTGCCAGATAGAAAAGCGTGATTCATCACTCCACAGAACACGTTTCCACTGCTCCAGAGTCCAGTGGCGGCGTGCTTTACGTCACCCACCTTGGTATTGTGCTTGGTGATGTAAGGCTTAAATGCAGCTGCTCAGCCATGGAAACCCATGGCATGAAGCTCCCGTTTCATGGACAGTTTTTGTGCTGATGTTAATGTAGTTATTGAGTTAGCAGAGCGTTGAGGACTTTTGTGCACTATCAGTCTCAGCACTCGCGACCCCATTCTGCAACTTTATGTGGTCTGACACTTCATGGCTGAGTTGCTGTGATTCCTGAACACTTCCCCTTATCAATAATACCACTTACAGTTTATCATGGAATATCCAGAAGGGAAGAAATTTCGCAATTTCGCTGACTTGTTGCAACGGTGGCGTCCTATTACCATACCACAATCTTTAAAATGACCCATTTTAGAATGACACATTCTTTCACAAATGTTTGTAAAGGCAGGCTGCATAGCTAGGTGCTTGATTTTATTCACCTATGACTGATTGAAACACCTGAGTTCATTTATAAACAGGTGTGTCCCAATACCTTTGTCCATGTAGTGTACATGCAGGGCATTCTAGGGCAAAACTGTACGCATAGATTTAGATATTTTTAATTTATTACTATTACTACCACTCAGAAGACTGGTCATTTTGGATAGCAAATAAGTTAGCTATATTTGCCATTCTAAACATCTAGTTTAATGTGATGGGCAAACTAACAGGGCAAAATAAATTAGTTAGATTTCAGGTTTATATTAAAATCATCACTACATGAATCCATTCAAATCCAAAAGTTAGCTAATGCACATATCAGCAAACTCTCCCAATATCCTGTCAGACAGGAAACTGACAAAAATGCTTTGTTCGGAGCAGGACATCATGTGGCAATCAATACCACTGAGATGAATGGAGTTAATGCACATTTCCTGTATCATACATTAGCATTAGATAGATAAATGCTTATTTGCCAACACTTTTCACTGTGATGTGAAAAAAAAAAAATCTGTAAAAGGTTCATGATTCATTACTACAGAATACAGAGCGGTTCTGTTTCGCTGGTCTCAGGTCACTGGAGTCCAACAGTGACCTACTCTACTTACTGCAGTCCACTGTTGGCTGCGATTAACACACACAGCAGGCGAACACAGAGTCTAGCCCCCCGCTAATTTTTTCCACTATTTAATGCACTTTCTGCACATTATAACTGTAATTCTTTTAAGCATTCTAGCGATAACAAATATTATTATTATTATTATTATTATTATTAATATTATTTGAGCACTGATTCTGTTTCGAGTTATGAAGTTGGTGTAGGGATAACGGTTATCTGCTATAAAGGATTGGTATCATAAGTAACAGTGTATTTGTTCTAAATCTACAGCATAATGTGTAGTTATTATATATTCAGGAGCTCATTTTGATATTTTTTTCCTAACAGGACCTGTTTCAGATATATATTTTGAGCTTGCTGATTACTTATATTAGGTAAAACACTACACATAATTTAGCTCTAAAACACCCTAATTAAGACAGACAGTTCTAGTCACCCTTCACCAGGTTGAGATGCCTGCTCATCAGGCTGGATGATCACATGTGATCTGTGAAAATTCTCATAGAGCTAAACAGAACCATCTAAGAGATCATTTTCCAATAATACATAAGGAGTTTTTCTGCTTGTACAAACCTCACTCACATCTGGTGAATGAATATCTAACATACAGTGCCAGGTGAGTTAGGTTAGACAAATTCTGCATGCTGACAGAACACTACCAAGGGGGTTGGTAAGCCCTGATTCAAAGTTTAATAATGCTCCTGTTTTGTGGTTAAGAACTAAACACACCTCAGCCAGCTAATCAAGTACTGCAGAATGCCTGGCTCATGTGTGTTAGGAAGCAAAACACAAAAATGCAGACGGGCTGAAATTGCCTCAGGATTGAAAAACCTTTTCCAAAAGCTTCTACCGACTGTATACTGACAACCTCTGTGCCTCTCACGCGTATTTTGTCATTTCTCTTATAGTTTTACAGTGTTTCAGACAATTTTGCGCTGGTGCAAAACTGCTGCCATGTTGAACACCTAGCTAATGAACTTAAGAAACTATTTATTTGACCTTATGACGAATTTCTTCACGCATACACTTCAGACTTTATTCCAGTCTTTACCACTTTTGCCAAAATCACCTCCGAGACGTGAGACTACGTTATTGCTGAATGTAGGTTAAGGGTCACAGCTTACGCCAGGGTTAAAGTTCACAGTTCATCCTCACAATGACAAAATGACCAGCTGAGAGCCCACTTACACTAACGAGTCACTGAATACATTATGCAACGTTGTTGAACCGACTGGCAGCAGCGCGTAAACAGCGTCAACACTCACCCACGGTGGCAGCTCTGAAGTTGGCAAACTCTGTCGCACGAATCTCTCTTCGTGCTCGAAGAAGGCCAGAGCTCTGTTCACTCTCGGAAACCTCGTACTTTGGTTCCGTTTGAGCCAGAACAGCACGGCGAGGCCGATGAGGATCCAGCTGAAGCTGAACTCGAGATAGCCCAGCACATAAATAGGAAACACCAACAGGAACGTCTTGACGAATTTAATCCCCGTGTGCTTGGCGTCTTCTACCGAGGACTGAGACTCGCTGTCCGTTTCCAGCTCTGAGAGTGGGTCCGGTTTAGGGGTTGCTGGTTTAGGAACCGAGTCCAGTCCGTTCGTTTTGGGCGCTGTACCCGGTTTGGGCTCCACTCCATTTTTGGACGCACTCATTTCCTAAGAGTTCGATTAAAGTTCCCCAAGAAGGAAAGAGAGAGCAGCCTAAAAGAGCACACAAAGCAGGTCACATGAACTGAACACCACCTTGGTAGACAGACTAGCAAAAATACTTCCACTCGTTCCGGCTGCAAAGTTCCTGGACTTCCTGAGATTGCGGATGATTGAATCACTTTGTGTTGAGGGGGGAAACTGCGCAGCCTCCCCGCCTGACCTTGACTTATATGGAGCGCTTTTTCTACCTACGAATAAACACACTGTCCTCATAAACTTTCGACTGCCATGGTCCTACCGCTGCCCGCCCGCCCGCTCGCTCGTTCGTTCGTTCGTTCGTTCGCTCGTTCGCCACGTCTCAGCAAGTGACCTACACAGCTGCTCTGCAGCTCCAGCATGGCGACTCGCTCCGGCCGTGTACGGTAACGTTTCTGTATCTCCACATCCTGCCACAGACGTGCGCTGTGCCCGCGCCCACACATACACACGCACAGGCTGCGGTACGGGCACAGACACGCACACAAATACATACACCCTCGACATATTAAAAGACCAACCCACTTCTCATTTTACAGAAACGGAGCTATGACGCCGAGAGGGGGGCTTCACTCCGCGGTCAACAGGCGCCCCCGTGTGGGGAGAGACTAGGGCTTACATGAGTTCAGGAGAGAGGCATATAAATATCACAGACAGGCTTCTCAATTATGAAAAAAGAGTATAAAAGTTACTTTCCGTCTTTGTGAATCATCAACTGAATGTTTTTCATTTATTTTTGAATTGTCACTAGTCATGTTGTTTTAGGAAATATGTCTTTTACTCATTAAAATGTAAAAAAAATAAAAACGTTACATTTTCTCATTTTGCTTTAAACACGTGCTGCGTGGCTTTACAAACATCTCATTTGATAAAGAAAATAAATATTAAGTTATAAATTGTAATTTTTTACTAGCAAAATCCATATTCATTGTGTATGCAAATCACAAGCCATTACTGATTACTGTATCTATAAATGAAACTAATCAATATTTGACACGGATTCAAATAAAGTATTATTGGGGTTTTTTTGTAATGCCTGTTTGATTTGTAACCCTATGTTACACTATGTCAAGCGCATGCCTTCTAATACATTAATGGATGACTGGAGTTAAATTCGTCTGTTAACTTAGTTATCGTTTTTTTCCTCGTGTGGTTGGCTACAATTTGGTTCTCTTCGGTCAGAGCAAAACTCACGTTATATGCAAATAAATCCAAGCTGTCACTATGGCTTGGATTTGGTGAAACAATCATCAATCTAAATCTTAGCTACCATACTACCGCATTTCCGATAAAGCTACAAAAAACTTTTAGTATCTTTTTTCTCTCTTGCATTTCAGCGTTTAGATTTTTGACAAAACTGGAATGGCAATTGCTTTTTTCATACAAGTAAAATGCTCACATAGCTAACATGCTAATTTAGCGAATAGCTAAGCTAGCTAGCCGACTAACGTTAGGTGATGGTGAGCCTTTAGGAGACCTAATTCAGAAAATTATAAAGCTAGTAATGCTTAATCAGCTGATTTACCGACGACGACACATATAAATAGTTAAGTGGCACTAGCTATAGCTAACTTCTTTTAAGATGTTGTTGTAGTAAACCCCTAGCATTTTACTCTTTTGGTTTGCTAATATATTGATAGTTCACTAATTTATAAAGTCACGCAGAAATGAGAGTCAGTTAGAAAAGAACAAATATTGTAATTTCGCGACACATTTTGGTCAGTCAGAAATGCCATGTAGCGTGAGGTATGTAGTCTAAGGAATGAATTAGCCTTTTCTAACACATAACCAAACTGAATTAACTTTAGCTAAAGCTTCTCTGTCTCTTAAGACGGCATTCTAGGGCCACAGTTAATAAAAATAAAAACAGTAGATCTGAAAAAAATATTTTCTCGCGTTATATATATTTCGAGAACGAAGTCCTAATATTCCTAGGGGGGCTGCCATAACGCGTTGGGGTCTTGGTTGCTGTACTGGCTCGCAGGAGTTCCACACACTCCTGTGTCCTTGTGGATCGATCATTTTGATCATCATTCTCATTGTCTGTGAAACTTCATGCCCTCTTTTAATGGCACGGAGATGTAGCCACTGATAGCCGTGTAGACGACTCGGCCTGCGATTCTCCTTCAACAAAACAGACAGACAGTTTCCTCCGAGTCCGTCTGGCTCTTTATTCTAAACAAAAGCAATTTCCTGCACAGCCGTTTCTTATACTTATGGGCTTGTTCGAGATGAACTGCGCCTCGCCTCGGTGGTCAGCGAGAGCAGCCGGTTGCAGTTGGTGGAGGAGGGTGGAAAAGAGCCGTCAAGTCGGACAGTCGCCACGAGAAACCCACGTGAGCTGGCGGTTATCGCGGCGTTTGCGTTCTTCGTAGCTGATGGATGCAGTAGAAATTCCTCTGTTATTGCATGAAATCGAGTATGATGAACAACGAAAGTGAAATGTATTTTGTTCTGTAGGCAGAACAAAATATTTTTGATCATAGTTGCAGGTTAAGCCCAGCGTTTGTTTTCCAAATCCACAGTTGTGAATATAGGTGTGCCACAAAAGGTTTTATTCATCATTCATAATTCTTCATTTATCTTGAACATTGTTGAAAAAGGTTTTAACAAACTGTTATCCATGTTAATAAATAGCTTTAATATTTGTCAGTAACAATTTAAATTAACAGACCTAAATTAAGTAGTCTGTTTTTAAGACGGTCTATTGAATCATTTCACATGAAAACGTGTGAATAAATAATTCAAAATATATTCAGTTTGTTCAAGGTAGAATGTGAGGGTGCACTCAGTCAGACCTTAATCATTAAGGTTGTGCATATGGTAAATAGACACCAATTTTATTGTGGCTTTAAGTCCAAACTGTCTAATAAAGTGTCTAAGGACTTAATCAAATTTCCCCATTTTATAGAGGATGTCATCCCTCTCTATAGTGTCTCAGAATGTAGAGATTATGTCAGATTCTCCAAAGGACAAGTATGGAAGCCACATAACTATGCAAAAGGTTTTAATGATTATGATAATCTTTTGTCTTGCTTACTATTTAGGATCTGATAAAGACCCTTGGCGCTGTTTGTATGAATCCACAGCAGACAAAATTGCCACTTACAGAGAGTGTCCTCTGTCTATGGACACTGTCAAACCAGGAGTCATATAGGGATATAGCAGACCGATTCAATGTCACAAAATCCACTCTTGTCAAACATCTTCATAGGTTTTGTACTCTGGTAAATACATACATGGCACACCACATTTCCTGGCCAGTAGGACAAACCCTGCATGATTTTGTGTTAGGTTTTCAAGCAGCTAGATTTCCAAAGACTATCTGTGCAGTAGATGGATGCCACATTCCGCAGTAGATGGAAGCCACACTGCGACAGCCCCCTGGAACCCCCTTTTTTATAATGATTATAATCAGATACTGTACCTTCTTGTGACTCTTGGCTTGCCAACAGATTAGATGGGGATAACAGCTGCTCTGAGCCTAGTCTGGCTGGAGGTGATGGCTGGAAGGTGTCCCCCAGTGGAGGACTGGGCAAAGGTTGCTGGGGATATGACCACCACTATAGGTGTAAGGAATGGAAGGGGCCTAGTTGCAGGGGTGTAGGACTGGGTGAAGGTTGCTGGGGATTTGACCACAACTGAAGGTAAAGGGGTGAAGACTGATTCCCGTAGTAGAGCCTGTAGAGGCAGTCAACAGGGCCACTTTATAAAAATACTACAAAAAGGCATTCAAAAGCTTGGATGTCAATTGTGTAGTACAACTACTTTTATCTGGAAAAGTACGTCAAAATGAATAAAGTATTCCTTGGCTGTCCTTCAAATTGATAAGGATGTTGTCCATGTTATGTTATGGCACATGTAGCATGAAGCCTTATATACCAAAAAGTATAAGGGAGAAATAGTGCACACTTGTTCCGAATGTGTTATACTTAATTTGTTACAATGTGCCAAACTGCCACTCAAAACACATCTTTCCATTGAGCAGTGATTGGCTTTTAGATTTAGTGAGTGGTCTTTAGCCTACACAAACTGAACACATTTCAATTAGCAGTGAATGCCATTGTGTGTGCCATTTAGGTCCTACTCCTAAGTGGTGTGTATAAAGCTGCAGTTTTTAAGTGTGTATATTCATAAATTATCAGCATTAGTGATGACATTAGTGTGATTACATTTTTGGGAGATAAAACTAACCTATTATAATTAATCACATAACATGCAATACTTGATGTTATTTTATGGATGTATCGTGTAAAAGTACTTCACTAGGCACACCCATGAAGGATGTGCCCAATATGAGTCACTAATAGGGTTAGTACAGGGTTAGTACATTGTATTTGCTTCTTCAGGCACAGACAAAGCAATTATTCAGGGAGTGAAGATGAATAGTGGCTGTGGTTAATTGAAGATGAATTTCTTAACACAATCATCTGCTGAACACCACATTGTTTTGTTCTTATATTCCAGCTGGTGGAATATTCTGGTGTTGGTTCTTGTAAACAAACATAACACCATGCTCATTCACACAGCTTTATTTATTAATCATATTTTAAAACATTTATAAAGTTTACAGAGTAGAAAGAAAAATAAATCAAAGTGCAATAGTAACGTAGTGCCTTTAAAACGCAGTTAAGTCATAAATCATAAAAGCATTTCAGAGTGTGTCATAAAAATAAAGTAAGAACATAAAGACCATTAAAATTTCTAGAAAAATATCAAGATAAAAGATAAATATGTTAGATTAAAGAAATATCAGGCACTCGAGTATTTTCACGACATGAAATGATAATTATGACATTAAATACGTTGAATAATGCACGAAAATAAACTGTCATGCTACTAGAGAGCATGATAGTATTAGCGTAAATACAGGGTCTTTAAGAGCTACAGCAAGATTTACATATTAGAAAAAAGTTGAATTTTAGAATTAAACGAAACAAACGTGACAGGTGTCAGGGGAACTTCTAGCCAATGAGGATTAAGCTCTGTTGTCATCAAGCCATCTCTTAGCTCTGAAGCCTGCAGCCGCCTCGCACTCACAAGATTATAACCTTGTAATTCGGAGGATCTGGTGGTATTCGAGAGAAGAACGTTCACAGGACAAAACGTATCGGGTTCTGAACATTTTTATTTAACACAGGGTACGATACAGGCGATTTTTCAAAAACCCTATTCATTCTGGCCATAGAGAAATGGAGCTCAGACCCAGAGTTCCTAATATGGGCATAAGAACATGCCACTGACTACAAAATGATGACACGACTACGGTGGTCTATGCCACTTTAATGTTTACTTTAATAATTCTACGTTCGACTTTTTTCCTCGAAATATTACAACTTTTCTTTCGAAATAGTACGACTTTTTTCTCGAAATAGTACAAGTTGTTTTCTCAAAATATCATACCGTATGACTTTTTTCTCAAAATATTACGACTTTATTCTCGAAGTCTACTGTTTCTAGTTTTATTAACAGTGGCCCTAAA